TCAAACACTATTTTTTAAAAAAAATAGTTATGAAAAATAATTTCAAGAAGTACTTTTAAAAAGTCACTTCAAACACACCCTTAAGAATCTATTTTTCATATTAAATTTAAGATGTTAATATTAGTCGTTAGATTAACTTTAAAGTAAAATTTAAAGCGATTTCAACCGCGAATAGAAAAAGTCATTTTGTTTATCTTTTGAGATTTGAATTGTAAGCTACTTTATTTTATATATATATATATATATATATATATATATATATATATATATATATATATATATATATATATATATATAAATCAATTGGTGATCTTAGGAACACCATTTATACTAGTCATAACCCGTGCTTAAAGGCACGATAAAATATAAAATTTGAGTGTCCAAAAAATCATTCCTACTATAATAAATTTTTTCAAAATATATTAACTACAAAATTAAATATTAAATAATTAAATATATGATAGAAATGAGTTGTGTGATATCTTTAGGGATAAAATATATAAATGATTAAATATGTTATAGAAATGAGTGATGTGATTTAACGTTTGAGTTTGACATAGATATGATGGGTGAGATAAGTTGATTGGTGATGATTTTGAAGAGAAAAATATAATTGGGATAAAATTCAAACACATTTCTATTTTATTATATATATATATATACACACATATGTGGCCTCCTCTTGTAAGTTTCACGCCGACGGACCTACCAAGCAAGTCCCAATCCCAATATAAATGTGTGTGTGTGTGTGTGTGTGTGTGTGGAGGGAGAGAGATATTCCCCACTTGGAAAGTTATGAAAGTTTGAATTCAACACCAAACTACACCCTCTCATCCATAATTTTTATTTTTCTTCCAGTCTGCTCTCTCTTTCTCTCAACGTCCATCCTTCAAAACCAAGCCAAACCAAAGCTAAGAAACAAACACAGACTTCTTAACTCTCAGTTCCCAAATCTCTTTCCTTCAAACAACCCTTATCCTCCCCAGCTGACAGAGTATTATAACTTGAAAAACCTTTATAACTAAGTAACTAACCTAAATGCTTAACAAATATTAGTGTATAAAACAGCCAAACCTTCCTTTCACGGCATCTCTTCTACATGGTGTTAGAGAATTTATCAAACTGAAGGTTGGATCCAGGCGATTATCAAATCTCCTGAATGTACAGATCCATGGGAATAATAAGAAACGATCCACTTTCCCAAACATAATAATAATAACAAATCAGCCGAGAATGTTGTGGTTGAGTTTTAGAATGTTGATTTGATCTTGACCCCCAAACGAATGAAGGATGGGCATTAAGATCATTTTATTTTTGTTTTAACGGAGTTAATTCTGAATTTTCCTTGACAATGTATTTATTTTTCAATCAAAAAATATTATTTGTAAATAATTTGAATATAGTTGATAATATTAAAAGTGAGCTCTGTATACTATTAGTATTTACAACTAATTCAATAATTATAATGAATTAAGTCTCTCTAACATAGCTCTTATTTGTCAACGGAAGAGAACAGAACTGGTGCATAGAAGAACACAATCACATGGTGAAGTTAAGTATGTCCAAAAAACCAGAGAACCCCAAACAAAGAACTTCTAATTAATACCACCACCACCAGCCCCTTGTCCCAATATAACACAAACACCCGCGCAAAAGAAGTAGAAAACCCAACAACGAAGAGAAGAACTTCTAGTTAGCACAAGGGTTTAAAAAATCTCACTCTCCATCCCAAATGATGTTTCGATTCTCAATTTACATTCTCAAACATTAAAAATCTCAATTTTCATTCTTAATGTTACGAATTGATAACAGTGTAAACCTCGTTCAGACTGTTATTCAATTTTTCGTCTTAAATTGAAGCACGTGAGTTACAAGTTCTTTGGACATGTATATAAATTCACAGACGGTTGATGTGTCATGTGAGTTGCACATGATAGGAATAGCTTTTATTTGATTAATGAAATTTTATTTTCGATATACAAAACAATGGCAAATTGATTGTAGGTGAAAATTTGCAGCGATTTACATACCTCATTATTATGTCTGAAGCACTTGCATCTCACTTGGTTCAATTTATAGGAAAAAAATTGAACGTTAATCTAAGTCAGGTCTATATTACTATCAATTCATAACATTATGAGTACAAATTAAGATATTTAATATTTAAGGGTATAAATTAAGAATCTAAATATTTTTTGAGGGTATAAAGTGAGATTAGGCCATACCACAAGGAGGAATTTAAAAAGAAAGAAAAATAGCCTCGAAAATCTCAAACTTTTTTTGTTTGGTGAAAAGTTTCAAGCTAAAAAAGTTGTCACCTTGCCTTGCCTTCTATAACATGTACTAATTTATTTCCAACTGAGAGATGATGATGATACTATAAAATTTGTCAAGTTCATAACCAGGGAAAAGGAAAGGTAAAACTTTTACGTAAGCATAGTACTTGAAAGTTCAAATATGGCAACAAATGTAAAGGCTCGTCCATACCTAGGCGTCTTTGTCAAAAGGATGTCAAACCTTTTTAGTTAATCAACTTTTTCGCCCACCGAAACAACTTTCTTTCAAAGCAAGCATACTTCACCAAAACAACCAACCGATGCCTCTACGTTTAAGACAAAAGTCTCAAGGATCCACAAAGCTGAAAAAATTTTATTGTAACGACGATATTAGATCAATACTGTCGTATGATATTATTAATTAATAATATATACAAATATAAATAAATAAACTCCACACTAATCAATAATTGCATGTCTATATAAGTAAATAATTATCATTCTCACTGTAAGTTAATAACTATCTAAGTTGAGTTCACTTTATTTATTTAGAATTTTATTAGTGGTTAATAATATCATGTCATCAATACTGATATGATATCACCGTTATATTTAATATTTTTTCTAAAAGGATGCAAGACCATCATTCTCAAGCAGTGTTATTAAAATCGGACCGGATCAACCGATTAGATTTTGAACTGGCACGTAAAACGGTCTGATTCTCGAGTTATACCGCATAAGAAAGCAAATTGTTTGGGAACCGCTGAACCGGCCGATTTTGGATCTAACTCGCGAACCGGACGGTTTGGCAAACCCGGTCGGTTGGAATTCAATCGCTATATTAAAAAAAAAAAAAAATTTGGGCCATTTGCCCTAAATCAATCGCAGATACCCATCCCCTTTTCGCACTTCACCGCTCAGCGACCAGACACCACTCAGGCGATCAGCCACCAACCACCACTTAGACGACCAACTTGTAATGTTAACTTGCTGTGTCTAAGGATCTCAGGGGCTTACCTGTGCTTCGAAAGAAGAGGGGTGTAGTTTTTGATGATATGGGCTAATTTGTTGTATTTTTTCAGTGTAGTGGGGGAGTTTGGAAATTGAAGTTGCAGATTGAAGATAGTGTTGGAGAAGTTGTTGGTGTTGTTCTTGTTTCAGATTTGTTCTTGTTGGAAATTGAAGTTGCAGATTGAATCGTAGAATTGCTCTTGTTGTTTCTAGATTTTGGTTGGGGTTTTATTGTGGGATTTATGTTTGTTGGGTTTGTTTTGTGATGAAAAGGCGTTTGTGCCTTTATTTGCTTCTTTGTGAATAAATAATTTTTTTTCTTTTAAATTTTATTTTATATGAGTTAGATATAACTTTGGGTTTTTTTGCATATGCTGACTATGGATCCTTTCCAAAATTCTTTCAGAAAAATTAATAGTTATAGCAGTGTTTTTTGACCAACTTGGTGACTTGTGAATCAATATCTGTGTGTAGAAATGACTCTTATTTTTATATACTTGTAAAATTTTGTGAATTATGAGTTGTGATTGTGGGATTGGGAATTGATAATATTTTATTATGTTTTATAATTATTATATATATTTTTTTATTTTTTATTATATAATCGGTCCAACTAGTTGACCCAACGGTTAAACCAATAAATCATTAATCTGGTCTTTTTGGTTCTATTAACATTGCTCTCAAGTCTCAACTGCCCACGCCAGCACCCTCATTCGTCTCTCTTAACTGCATTCTCATATTCCAACCAAACTACCATCTGCTGAATCCAAATCTTTTCAAATGTATTGGCAAGAGAAGAGAGTCACTTATATAATATGTTTCAATTTAATTCACAATAGGTAATTTACGAAAAAAAATTTAAAAAATAAATGTGTAGCAGAAAATCTCACTCCCAATAGAGAATAATATTTTCAAATTGCAAAACTATCAAACTTTATTCTTATCTTATCAAATTTTAAATCGGATATCCGATTTTAAAGGGCTGTTATATAGAATGTAAAAGTATATTTTGTCCAATAATTAGATTAAATTTTTTAATCATATTCAGATTCTAATCCGATAAAATCCGTTTCTCAACTCGGTCCGACACTTAAGCAAGAGTTTGAGGATTCTCTGTCTCAACCCAACATAATCAAATAATGGATCACAAGCTCAATTAAATGATCATATGTTTTTGAAAACATAATTTATGTAGTCGATCTTAAAATTGATGAGACAAGACTTTATGTAGTTGATCTTAACTGTTGTTGATGGCCGGACAGGTAAAAAAAAACAGGGATAAGATGAATGGTAGATCTTGTTGTCAACCTTTTTGTAATCTGAGCTTGAATGGTTTTAATTTCATGCTAGTTAACCAATATAATTAAGCTTTTGTTAGAGCCTAATCAGTGCATGTTTGGATGCTGGTTCCTCTTGACGTGTCTAAGTGTAAGTTGTGTTACCAAACGGTATTTAACCAAATTTATCAGCTTTACATGTAATTCTATGACTATGCTTCCTCTGATATACTAGAAGAAATGTGTATTCGTTTATTAAACAACACAGTACTACGACTATCAAGCAAACATAATTCGATTCATATATACATGATTGATTAGCATTCAATGCATAGGCGAAACGAGAATAAGAGCTGTAGCATACATAGAATTTTAAGAGGCAAGATCCATCAAGCTATGGACATTCACATCGGAGTCTATCATGCATAGAAAAGCTTCAAGAGGACTGCTCATAGGCCCCATAGTAAAGAAGAGCCCTGGCAGATTTGTGGACTTGACGACGCCAAAACAGCGAAGAAGTTTTATACGAGCCTTTGTTCAATCTTCTACTCCATGAAATGGCTATCTCAAAAACCTCATATATAGCTTCCTGTAATATCAAGGACAGGTTGAGAATAAGAAAACCAACATTCATCTATGTTTTCTAAGATGTCGGCCAACATTCACTTTCCGATGCTCCGGTGTCTTATGTATCCAAAGAATAGGTTACATATTCTGTAGAACATTCGTCAAATCTTTTGAACATACAACAACATTAATTATAAGAATAATATAGCTGCCCAAATGGAAACCTAAATGCAAATCAATATAAAACACAACAACGTTGAAGGGAACTTACCAAGAACTGAGACTTTGCTTGAGAGAGAGTGGAAAAGCTTCCATTTCTTATAATCCTCTCCATCTTCATCCTTACACCGTCGCCACTCTCACCATCATCACGATCTCCACCAACTTGCTTTTTACCCAAACGTAAATAAGAAAAATTACCTCCAAAACCATCTTCACCCTTGACTTTAGGGTTCTTTAGCCCCCGAGAACCAAAGAATCTAAGAGGACTCCAACTACTACTGTGAAAAGACCCCTTAAGCTTTCTTGTAATTCTGAATGAAGCTGAAGAGATTATAGTTCTGTCCACATCAGGAGAGTCCAGGACAGTGGTGGGTGAGGGCGTCTTAGCAATCTTGGACTCAACCAACAGCATTGGAGGTAGCTTTAAGGACTTGGGTTTATTTCCGCTTTTGTTGGGACGGACACTGGTGAAGGTGGTGGATAGACGTGGCTTACCAGGCTCTTCTTCCCACAGGAATGGAACCGAAGCTAAGCTGTAGAGTGGTGATAGTGTTAGCATCCCAGAGTGTTCAGGCGAGTGCATGTGTGGGACTGAGAACAATGGAAGCTTTGGTGAGAACATAGACTCGAGTTCTGCTACCTGTCCTATGATTCCCATCTCTCTCATTCTCTTTAGAGTCTGCAATTTGGGGAGAGATTGGAGTTTTACATGCAGTAGGCAAAATTGGGAAGAAGAAGCAAAGGTTTTGTAGCTGTTACTTTTTTTTGGAAAATGTCTTGCTTACCAACAAAATTTTACTAAATCTTCCGTACCAAAAGATACACAATTTTTGTTATAGAATACTAGTGGGAGTCACTTATCTCGCGAGGAGAAACTGTACCGCATCATTTAAGATGAAAATTTGATAAAAAAATTGAACAATGTTATTGAAATCTAATTTATTAATCTAATTCACTCTGACATTTGAATTAATTGTGAGTCTCATCAAACATTGGGACTTTGTGTTAATCTAATGATTCTAATAAAATCACATTATTAGGTCGACAAATTATGTTAAATTTTTATGTTCAAATAGCATTAGTCAAAAAAAAATTGATAAACGTAACGTTACCCATTACCCTACTTTTTTTATTTGCACAGAGAGAGAGAGAGAGATAGTGCTAAACCTGGACTTGGCCATGTTTGTTCAATTTTCTACTCCATGAAATGGCTTTCTTAAAGACCTGGTATACACCTTCCTGTCATATCAACAGAAGGTAAAGACTAAGAAAGTCAACATGAAATTGAAGTTGTTTTAGCTAGGCTCCTTTGTAATTACTTGCAAATATGACAAGAAAATTTTATGCCAAAGGCTGTTCCTCCCAAATGTCACATGTTCATCACCAGCCTTCTGGGCTAGATGATATCCAATTGGTATCTCAAATCACATGTGACGAGTTTAAGTCTAGTTATTGTCTCTTTATCAAATATCGAATTTTGGTATTATAAAGAAAAGTTATTAAAAAATAATAGCGATGTTACCACTTAGTCTCATGCGGTTACGGCTCATTTTAGGTCAAGTTACAATATGGAAAAAAAATAATTATAGGTAAAAAAGTAAGTTCAATTAAAAAATGTCGGTATTGATGCCTAAAAAATAGAGTTAATTACAAAATGACCCTATCAAATTTGGGTCACGTTGCAATCAACTATCTATCATTTCAATTTCAATAATTATGGAACTAAATTGGGTCATGTTGCAATCAACTAACTGCAAAAACCAACGCCCCCCAAATCTCAGTCATCGTGCAGCCACCTAACCACCATCACCAAACACCAATTAACCAAAACCAAAAGAGAAAAGGAGAATAAGCCATTTGTGTCTGGTGGTTGAAAGTGGGTTGGGGGTGGAGATAATTGTTCGGTGTTTATTGTTTTTGAAGGCATTTAATAAGAGGGTAAATTTGTTTTTAAATAAATTAAAGGTCACATGGTCAATGTTTGTCAATTTTTTTACAGTCAAATTGAACCAAAATGGGGTAATTGATTTTACTAAAAACTTGACGAGAACAAATTGTTGAAATTGACAAGAGATGAAGTTAACTTCGGTATGACCCAAACTTAAAGGGATATTTGGTAATTAATGCTAAAATATAACCACTTCGTCCTTCTTTTTTAAAAATTTTTAGATAAAGTAGGAAACAATAATTTTTTTAACCGAGCAATGTTATTAGGATTTAATTTGCTGCTTTAATTTACTATAATTTTTGGATTAACTGTGAGCTTCATCAAACATTAAAATTTGGTATTTATTCAATAGTTCCTATGAAACCACATCATTAGATCAACAAATTATGTCAAATTTTTAAGTTCAAATAACGTTTTCCTAATTTTTTTTTAACTGGGCTTTTGGATAGTATTGCCTAGCACTGTGTATGGAATAGAAATGTTGAATAGCGCATACGAAAAGAGAACTTGCCCAGAATTGAGCCTTCGTCTGAGAGAGAGTGGAAAACTTTCCATTCCCTATAATCCTCGCCATCTTCGTCCTTGTACCGCCATTTTTACCTTCACTGCAATCTGCTACATCCATGGAAGATGGAAAGACAAAGCAACCTCCGTCAACTTTCTTTTTACCATAACATGAATAGGTAAAATAGCGTCCAGTACCGTCTTTATGCTTGACTTTACGGTTCTTTTGAAACCCTCTCATCATCTTATTCCTTCTCTTGCGAAGAACCATTGTCCAAAGCTGCTCTCTCTGAGTCTCTGCAGGACTCGAACTGCTGCTGTCAAAAGTACCCTCAAGCTTTGTCATAAATCTGAAAGAAGTCGAAGAGAATACAGTATTGTCCACGTCAGGACCGTCCAGGACGGTGGTGGGAGAGCAGGGCTTACTAATCTTGGCACCAGCCAGCACCCTTGGAGGCAGCTTTAAGCGCTTGGGTCTATTTCCATTTTTGTTGGGATGGACGGTGATGATTCTGGCGGCGGCGGCGGTGGTGCAGGGTCGTGGCCTACCAGGCTCTTCTTCCCACCGGAATGGAACAGAAGCCAAGCTGTAGGGTGGTGACAGCGTTAGCATTTCAGAATGCTGTGGCGAGTGCATGAGAGGGACTGAAAACAATGGAAGCTTTGGTGAGAAAATATGCTCGAGTTCTGCTTCGGGTT